TGTATGCATGTTTTATCTTTATTTCCTACATAAATGAAGATTACAAAACAAAATATAGAAATGTATTTTTGTAATTTTATCTCAAATTTAGGAAACGTTCGAACAAAAATTCAGGGGTTTCTTTAGCAGTGCTACCTAAGTAATATAATGAAAACGCGCAGATTTTTACGAATATAAACATTATTATTACATGCTTTTATAATTCATAAAGTTAACTTGACAATGCATGCCTTAAAGTGACCCTGGTATTGACACATTATAACTAAAAATGGCGGGTGTGTTAACACGTGACCAAGCGGCAATTCGGTAATTTTGACATGCCAAACAAAAGTGAAATCTTAAATTCCAATACTCAAGTATATTTCTTTTGGAAAGCATTGAAAACCTCTAAAACAAATGAAATGGGTTATCTAAATGTACCCGCATATTATAGAATCTATGTTAGGAAGCCAGAACTTAACACGGCGTCTGATAAATCGCGCCAAAATTGTGCACGTGTCTACTATTTTATTACAATCATTTCTAATTGTATATGTTATGAAACACAATTATTTACAGAATAAAAACAATGCAGTTGCATGTTTTTGTAAAATACACGCAAAAACGATGTCATTGTATATGGCGGTGTATTCTTGAATGGCTGATGAGTCAGTTTTTAAAATGCCTTTTATATTGGTGAAGTGGTCCTACACGTAATTCTTGCACGGTCGTTCTAATTAATAGCTAAAATACCCCCATCCTCGTGAAAGTATTGATGCTTAAATTATTAAAATTTTACTTTTAATTGTCGATAGAAACCCAAATATCTAACATCAAAACTTTCATCGTTTGGAGATATAAAAAATATAGCTTGATTAGTAAGCCAACAATTAAAGCACAACTGTGCAATGATTAGGACGATGTACCTGTGTGATGATAAGATTACTCCCTCTAAGCTCATAATGGTTTAAGAGACAATAAATATAAATATAATATATATGTAATGTAAGTTATATATATATTTTTTCCCTTAGTTCGTGTAATTAACAATGTATTCATCAAGTTGACAATATCAAATATATATGTACCTCCTTTTCCATAAAGGGCAATAAAGATATACAAACACACATACATCACAAATAATAATTCAAACTATTTTGGAATCCAACTTTTTCAAAAGGACCGACAAGGACCACCTTAATACATTTCGAAGTTCAGTTGGGAGGTACAGTTAACAGTTAAACTTGTATATGAAAAAACAATATTATGAACACCTCTTATTGTGAACACTTTTTCTCGGTCCAACATTTATTAGAAAATCTCCTATTGATATATTCAAACACGTGCCAATCCGAGCACTCGACCGGCCCCAGTGGCGTTCTGATTAGACTAGTTTTACTCCATGTACTGTGTTTTATGGACTACGGTCTTTGTTGATGGATATTGCCCCTTGACTCTTATGGACCTTGACTGGATTTTGCATCACTCTCACTTCCAATGGATTTTAAAACTGATTAATCCATTAGACGTATTTGAAATATTTTACAATTTGTTCGTCATATATATTCCTTTGCCTTCAGCATAAATGAAATGCCACAAGCTTGTGGTTTTTGAATTATGATATTGATTCTTGAATGACTGCGAGGGGGGTGTGCTAGTATTGTTTCTTTGTACATTAGATCATATACTTTGAGATATTGTTGGTTTAATTTTCTTTGAGACAAGTTGTATTATTTTGCTTTTTTTCTTGCTGTAGTATGTTATGCTTTTTGGTTTTCCATTTTCGGGTCTTGTACATAATTTATGAAGGTCGAGAAGAACGCAAAATCTTGGTGTACTAAAGTGACAGTTTGCCTCTAAATATGTTCTCTGCATCTGACATCTATTGTTAGAGAGAGACTTAAATGGAAGATCTTATGATTATCGTTTTTAATCATAAGTACTCTTTACTTCATAAAAATCGTAAATTAATTTACATCTTAATCACGGCGTAATCGCCCAGAGAGGGCATTTCTACTGCCGCTGATAAGTCTTTGACAAATTTCTTACGTATCTGTCGTGCGGTGTCACATTATCGTGAGGTGTCACAGCCTCCTATCAGTTTCCTTCGATCATTCTTTGCACGGCAGAGATGGTCTGAGTATCAGAATGAGTGCTATACAGATTACAGTCACGTTACACAAAAGGATAGCCGATTAGAGAAACAGTGTATTATCATTTTTATTTCGTGGGAGACATATTTGTTATCTGATATAATAATACCGGTAATAGTCAATTAATATTCAACAGTGTTCGAGACCCATTACTAATCTTTCGTTTCCTAATACAAACTATAGAAGAGGAAATTATCCTAATCATGGAAATGAAATATGACGTTCGTTACCAACCCTGAACAGAGCCGATTGTTAACTAGCTATTTGAAGTTTTTCTAAATGTTTATCATCTTGTCAGTATGACTTAAGATTATGTTTTATTATCTACTTTGTCTTGCTTCAAGACCCTGGGCTATCTACTCTAACAACTTGTGTCACAAGGGCTAGAGCAAGACTATTATTATAAGTTATTTAAAGAATTCCCACGTTTCGATTATTTGAAGCTTTCTTATGGCGAACGAAACCAAATTACAAGAAAGGAGAGTCGTAAGTGCTGTAGTAACAAGTCAGATACTGGATATGGAAGGGGGTGTGCTAAATTCAATACCACGTGCGGGAATCGAATCCAGGACTTTCCGCTCCATAGTCCGAAGATCTACCCTTGATGCCATAAGGACTAGCCACTCCGGTAGCCACTACAACTTCGACTATATGGTACCTACTTGTTATTATCGAGGGTCATTACACCAGCTTACCAAATTTCTTCCTACCACAATTTCTTGGAATTGTACAGCATGTACAATATAACACCAAAAATGTAATTTTGTGACTAAAACACATGAGCTTCTGTTAATACATTATCGAATTCATTCAAGAGCCTCGACTGAAATCAGCTACTTGTGAGGTTCGTGTTGAGATTTGTAAAATACTGCTGTCTAATATAGAATTGCGGAAATTGAATTCTGAACAATAATTCCACCAAAGAGTGGCACGTGTTTACGCAAAACTTTTGGGCGGAAAAAACACATTCCGCCCAAAAAGTACATTCCAGCAGATCCCCATTCACGGAAACCGGCAAAGTATATTAAAAATGTTCCTTTCATAAAATTCATTTCACCATATGGTTCATTCTTAGGTACACTTTCCGTAGAACGAGCACGTTTTTATTGTTGTTTTATTGTACCTATTGTATAATAAGAACATTTGATACCGGCACGTGACCAGCATATGGCATACTCCATGCGCAACTCACAACAAATGGCCCTCTCCCACTTTTATTACATCGTATAGTCTAAACAGTCCATAAGAATCGCATCTAATGATTTTAGTCAAGAAAAAGTTTTAAAGTTTTACTTCACGATCCGAACATTCGTTACAAGTAGTAAACATGATCTGCATAATTAGGATATAAATCAGAATATACATCTCTAAATGGAGTATTCATCGCGATAACCGCGCCCCTTTTGTCTTGATCCTTCCAAAGCGGCTCTCCCGCAAACGGCAGATAAGAGGAGGCTTGGTTAACCAGTGGTGGGGCAGTGGTATCGCGTGACTCATACCTTGTGGAAACGCCTATTGTATTTCAAAAAATGATATGTGTAGATTAAATAACTTTTTTCAAAGCAAAATGAATATTTCTGCTACACGATTTTGTCGTTCTTGGAATATTTTCCGCTTCTTAAAAAGTGAACTAACTACGCGCTATACTCTGACACTTAAAGAAGGTGTTTAAAAAGTAATGTTCATTCATCTCGGCTCCTTTAGAATATTCCACTATGATTGTATCAAAGCAAGTTTATGGAATATTGCGTGTGGGCTAGAGAAACAAAAGACTACACACGACACATAATTAATATTAATTATACAATTGTGCAACCGCGACAAACGACCCATATATAAGTTTATTGTTTTATTAAAACGCTTATAAAATATGTATTGATTCATTATTCAAAGATCATATAGAAATTCAATCTTGATCATATATTTACAACCAAAGGAGAGGACTTAGAATAGGCGAAAGCCTCTTGTCCGATCCATTTCGTCAAATTGTATTAATATGATGTATGTAAAACATATAGACGAATAAAATATTTTTAATTAAGTTAATATATTTATTCCAAGAATTTCATTTTCTGTTAAATATCGATATCCTTTTTTGAATACGCATATAAAGGCATCATGGGTCACAGAACATGTTATTGTTAGTCTATGCGGTAGTGACATCTTTAAATTTACATCGAGTCTAAATTCGCAAGAAAAAATCACTTTGGTTAATTTGGGTATACTTAGGTATGTGAAGCACGACCAATTTTGACTTTGGCCATAAGTCTTGGAAACTGGCAAATCTGAGAGGAAAAAACATGGAAAATTGTCTAAAAAAGAACCCTTTTTAAGTCAATTTTTTTTTCGAAAAGTGGTATTAAATCGGTTAAATCAGTTGCCGAGGCCTGGGACATATCACTGGAAAGTGATTTTTGCCAATTTAACAATATCAAACCCCCGGGGTTGACGGTCGGTGTTTAATATTTTGTCTGTGCATTTTCTGCAGGAAAAACACTTGACGATTTTAAATTTTAATGGATGTCTATTGGTTTGCAAAATACTACAGTTTTGGCCAAGCAAGGATTTTAAGACCGGGTACAATATTATATGCTTACCCTGTATCTTGTCTTTTTATCACATATATAAATTATATATATAAATATGAATATAATTCAACTGTGCATAGTGCAAAAGGATCGTTTCACTTAATCTCTGTGTATTCCAGCTTTATACAGGAAGTAATGTCACGTCCGTTCATCACAGTTTTAATTTGCTAAATATCCTTGAAAACATCAATTATATTGACGTCATTATTTACTTTTACACTTCAACGACTCATTGTTTGCTTTTGGTCTTATTAAATAACAACTTCACAACTATACAAAGTAATGTTTTTGAGTTATATATATTTATTTGGCTTATTTACATATTGCAACGAGATATATAAGATACATTATATACAGAATCATAACTATGAGACAAAACTATCCCAAAGTTGTTGATACATTGGTTTTGGACGGTTCGCTGTACAGGGCTATGTCATACATGTACATTTGATAGATTTAAATAAATATATACATTTTAAAGTTTTCATATAATAAATATATTTAAGTGTTAAGACATTAAATGTAAGAATATACTATTTATAAATACTGAAAATGAATTAATGTCATCAAGGAAAATCAAGTTTTTTTTGCATTCCAAGTCTTAATACCTTTTCCCATTTAAAAAAACTGTGTGGTGGTTTCAAAATATTTCATCTTGCTAGGTATACGGAATGTCACCCCTGGTATATTGGAAGTTAAATTACCTCAAACATATGGGATGTTTCCTCATATATTCGAATCTACCTCCAATATATACAAAGTCACCTCTGGCATACCTCTATTTATGTTATAGGATAATACAAAGTCCCGGTTGACAGAGAATTTTTCAATTCAATCTAGTATAACAAAACATGAAAATAATGACAAGTGGATTATACCTTTGAGACTAATCAAACGACGAGGATTTAGACGATAAAATTGTTATTCAATCGCTGGGATAAACACAGTGCTGCCAACGAACAATGGTCAATCAGTACACAATGTAACATGAACGAGTCATCAACAAAATTAGTACAGACTCATTTATCGTTAAAAAATTATCACAGCTTTGCTGACGGATTCAAATACATTATACACTAAGTACCTCATATGGAATGCATTTTAATGTAATTGCACGAATATCTTTATTATTATAAGAGATCATTTAATAAATCACAAAAGTGTATATGGATGCGCAAATCGACGCATTTGGAGTGACGTATCTAGTAAATGTATACAATTCTATTATCTTTTAACTATATTTACAAAATGTACATTATGTGTTGTAAAGTGTTGTAAAAATACAACCGGAAAATAATTCCTACAGTGAAATCACGTCGTTGAGCAAGTGAATTTTTGATAAATCAATTTAATAATAAGTCGATCATTTCTGTGCCTAGTCTACATGAATAAATCATATAAGGCAAACGAATGAATTGTAAAATCGTTTGCAGAAATAAATAATAAATAAATACATTGATTGCACATTCCCGTAAAGTTATATTTCTGTGACTCGCAAAAACCTTCGGGAGATTTCGCCTTGTCAAATGTGACATTTGAACTGCGGGCTAGATCTAGATCTACATCTATAACCTATAACAATCGATATGTTTGATAGCATGATCGACCTCTTGTTCTCTTGTTCATGGCAATTCAACTAAATGGCAAGTTTACACAGCACAGTATACACGAATACTATTTTCATGGAATTCTTATTTTTACAGAATTCAATTGTTAGCTGCAAATTTCATTCTTTTTTGCTTTTGACGTTGATTACAAAACCAAACTCTAACAACGCTTTTCTTTAAGTCCAATTTGTCAGCGATTTGAGAGATTTTTTCCCCAGAAGGCCGTGGTTGTATTTGGAAATATGCTTCTAAAGATCGTTTTTCGCTATCTCCTATCGAAGTGCGTTTGCGCTTGCTGTCACCATTTTTTCCTTGGCCGTCTCCAAGCATTTTCTTTTCTCTAGCGGCTGCTTCTGCCTCTTCTAGCCACGCAGCGAGAACAGGCTTCAATGCTATCATGTTATTGTGGCTAAGTGTCAGGCTCTCAAAACGACAGATTGTACTCTGGCTAAGTGATCCAACACCGGGGAGCTTCAATTTGGCAAGAGCATTCCCCACATCGGCTTGCGTCACTCCGAGTTTTATGCGTCGCTGCTTGAAACGTTCGGCAAACGCTTCCAATTCCCGAGGGTCACAATCAAGCTCGTGCATCGTGTAATTGATAGGATGTCCTGGGGGGAGGTGGGGAACTCCAGGAGGTGATGGATGTTGAATGCCATAAGACCCGTGCCCATATACAGACGGCATACTAGTCATACCTGACATTGCAGACATGCTTGGCATACTCATTTGCGGCTGACTGACCGGATGTGACGTGAGAATATGGTGATCGTTGGATAAAGGAATTGTCGAAGCAGTAGACATCTGATCCATCATGTTCATGTGTCCCTCCGCGCCGAAGCCATACAGTGGAGGAGGTGGTGGCGGATGCATAATCTGAGTGCGTGATGAGGCTGATGGCGAGAGTGACGTCATCTCAACGTACACGGTGTCGGTCTTCTGTGGCATTGGAGATGGACGCTTGTTCAAATGATCGGTCGGTTGAATTGGATCATTCCTCATGTACCCATCGTCAAAACCACCGAACATATTGGTTTGCATACCCTGAAAACAAAAAGCATCAATTAAAAACAGAAGTTCTAGTGCATTCATTATAGTTCTGGTTTTGAAATCTCGGACAAATAGAATTCGATTTCTTTCTATTATGTTAGGATATGAAGTCACGTGCACCCCTGATATGAACATCATTGATTAGAGATAATTATCTTTCAGATTATTTGTTTCTATTCAATTATTATTCTTTTTATAACACCATGTTGTGAAAGTACAAGTGATATGCCGATGAAATTAGTTGCGCAACGCCGGTCGCAAGTGCGCCGCTCGTCTGTTATAGACGTCATGTCACGTGGCGGATTGTGGGTGCCTTCCGTATGGGAAATTGTACATTTTGTTGAAAGAAATGCTCATTCTGTCGATAAAAACCACGCATTAACCACACCTCGATGTAAATAACGTTTGGATTGATATTTGTAAAATGCCATAGTTCGTGACCTTGGGTACGTAAGACCTGTCACTTTTAATTGTAAAACCTTGAAAATCAAAACATACGTTGTTAAAGACACTTTTCGAGTTAAAAATGCCTAGACCGTTAGGCTCCGTCAGTTTTCCTTGTAATTTCAGCAGTTTTGATATTTTCTTGTAGGAATATCCTGATTTCTTAAGAACATATTGGTTAATTACAAATACACAATACCACAAAGATGAAAGCCCCATGCTATATTCAAAGCTTTGAAATCGAAGAAAGGGGGAAATAAACTCGCGGAAATCTTGATTTAATTCATCAGATACCGGGCGACTTTACAGGTAATCATTCGATTACGTGCAAGAATACCTTGTACATCGTATCCTCGAGTCTCTTGGGGTTCCAAAGTAATTAAAGTGTGATCTCAGCTATTCGGAATTATTGCATGGGCAACATTGATATTATGTCATACCGGCTTGTTCATCGCTCATAACCGTTTGTGAACTTAAAAGTTGAGTTCACCGTTTGGATTTATATTTCATACGCGTATAGTTTTGCCTACTTAAATAATGTCATGATAACTTCAAAACAAGTACACCAATTCATGGTAGTGGGAAAGACAGACGGCGTGAATGCATTCAACAGGGCAATGTGTTTCTTGGGATAAGGCAGAGCTTTCAAGTTTGCATGTTAACACTGTGTTACGTCTCGATACAAGAGAAACTTCTCTCTGATGTTCTTGGCGACGCAATGACCGCCACGCGCCATAATTGTTTCACAATGTGGAGTTGCGTGCGTCACCATTTATATTTCAAGTAAAATCCAATGTCTCCGGATTCCCCACATCTGCTAGAATCTGCAATTTTAGTTTCTCACTAGTTTTTATACTTAGTTCTGCTAGGTAGAATATTCCACCTTCTGGCGTGGTCAATAAAATACAATTGTCTAATTAGTTGAAAAAAAACAAGATCAAGGGAATTCACCGCCGGGCTTTTTTCATTAATAACTATCTGGTATAATATTAGTTCAGGATCAAATTAAACGACGATAAAGTGACTTAAGAGTGTTAAATTTCAATTAGTTGATATTTTCTTTTGCGAATTAAACACTTTCAACTTGAACTTTTCCAACGGGTCACAGTGTACTTCAACATGTCAATTGTCACTTGAGTTTTTTCTAGGGGTTTTCTTTTAACCTCAATCTGTTGAAATTAAATTAAAAAGCAGGTATATCTTTGAAAATATAAAGAACACATTGGCCTTGTCACTTCGGGTTATTATACAATCTTACTTGAATCTTAACATATGTCTAGCATTACCTAATAAAATCACGGCGTAAATTGGATAATAATTGTCAGCATAATTAACTATTTATTGTTAATTAATATATATTTGAAGAAAGAGCAAGACCTCACGATTAATTACTTATATATCGCAATGTAAGTAACACTCGATTTGATGATTATTTGTGTTTATTAATCAATCAAATTGATGATAATTGATTTCAAATTGATCTTCAGCCCGTCCTCAACTCAATAAGGAACAATGTAATATAAGAAAATGTAAACAATATAGTATAAGAAAATGTGAACAATATAGTATAATCAAGAAAATGTAAACAATATGGTATAAAAATGTAATCAATATAGTATAAGAAAATGTAAACAATATAGTATAATCAAAATCAATGTAATTATTTATAGTGTTTTGTGTGTACGTTTATATATCAATAGCTTTGATTTGTTTTAGGTTGTCATGTTTTTTTCTAAACTTTATTGAAAAGCAAACCACTCAAGTTTCATGTTCGGTAAAGAGTCGTATTTTAATGTAAATTTAATAGATTGTTGTAAGCAAATAATCATCCACCTATAGTTCAATTTGTGGTTCCTTAACCACTTAATCATGAGTTTTGGACATAACAGGTGAGTTATAACTAATAAATAACATTAATCAATATTTATAATAATAGTCCCTTCAAAGTCAGTGTACACTTCACCTGTCGTCAAATTGAGATATCAAAAGAAATATGACAATTATCACAGTACTCTGTAATTAACCGTGAGAACTTTAAAACATTTACCATTTCTAGAAACTCACATTTTTGCTTAAGACAAAGCAAATTAGTTATATAATAGTATTAAATAGTTACTAATGTGTTAATGACTTAATTGTAATAGCTTAGCGGCAGATCAAAGGATTGAAACGTAGATCACCTGGTCACTTCAGATTTGCCCCCACAGTGATATATAATTTTACACATTGCCTGGATTGTCAAATCAAAAGGTTTAGTTTTATTCAACAAATTAACGCTAATTGATGAATTATATAATTGTAAATGTCCTCATTTTCTAATATGTTACAGATGTGTCCATTCTTCAATGATTACATACGTGCCCTTATTTTCACCTTAAAGGAATTCTGTCCACCAGGAATTATTGTCTCCATGTATTTGCATTTACATCACATCACGTTAATGTATGGCAACTCGGACAATTAATACAGAGACAAGAAACACACTACGCCGCATGACACCATCTTTGAACACATTTTGTATTCTGATTTATAACTTACAATGTCGATTTTATCATAACATACTATGTCAGGAAATATCTTATCTATAAATTCCAAGTGTATAATTTTCACCTATAACATAACTTTGGATGATCTTTCCGATGGTATATCACACTAGGTACCATCTATTAAGGTTTTAGCTGTAGCAGGAGGGACGGGACTTATTTGACACCCTGTGTAAATTGTTTTTTTGACAATTTATATTGATATGATATGACAATAGATTTCAAAATAATCATTTTACGTATTGGAGCTGAAACATCATTTAAAGGGGGTGATGTTACGGCTATTTGAATTATGAGTAGACCTCTACGGACGTTCCACGATGACGTTCCGTACAATCATAACAATAATCAATGAACCCTGTGTTTCATGGTAGCGTACATGATAATCTCGTGTCTCGATGAAAGTTAATTAATTAAGCAATATCTCTATTGCCCAATTCCAAAAATTTTAATTCTCCCATGAATCCATACAATTTTATGATAAAGTTTCCATTATTGCGATTGGTTAATAAATAGTCACGTGGTTAGCTTAATCTCGTGTGTATATTTTACCTGGTATATACGAATCTTGTAAATGGGTAAAAGGGAAACAATAAGACATCAACTTTAATTAGCAATTGATGGGTTACGGTATACTAGTAGTTAATTATGACCAGAATATTCTCAACATATGGCTAATTCTGCACCCGGAAACCATGAGAGATAAAATTCAACCCTGTTTCTACCGGCGTGATTGAAACAAGACCCACCTTCCCTCTCACGTCTAGCTAGACTCGTACAGGTAACTCAGGATTAACAGCTGTTTGAACGATTAAATATATCAATTAGAAAGTTAGATTTATCAAGATTTTATTAATTGCTAGCAACCTGTTTCTAATTTCGCCCAGGGGTAATTTGAGACCTACAATACATAGGCGTGGTTTAACTTGAATTTTATTGGGATCACCTCCTCATTAAAGCTGTTAGTTTGATTAAATGATATCATTGCAATGAGTAACCACAAATAGTGAAATTTAAATAAGTTCCGATACGACAAATATCAATTGTTATTTTCTGAATGGAGTGATAAGTATATGATATACACTATAAAATACACATATTTCCATATACATATATCCACTAGAAATGCCCAAAGTGTTCTAATAAAAATGTGGTCGCATATTTATAATGATTTATAACGTTGATGGGAGGAAATTAAGATGTACCGAAAGGTGTTCAAAAAGCCTAGGCGTGTTTACATTAGAGTGGAGTTAATACACAAACGAAGTATTTCAATACCACCCTGAATGTAACGGAGAAACTGAACGTCCTAATTACAACATGTAACGTGTTGGCAGCTCATTCAAACACACGTGTCAAATACTTTCAAAACATAAATTTTGTTAACTCCGTTTTTATCCCTTAAATCTATTTAATCAACTCTCGCAAGAATTATTTTTACGCTAAAAATTAAATATCTATTGAAAATATGTTTTGATAAATATAAATTTACGCTTCACAACATAAGTTTTCTAATGAAATTATGTCACTTTAAAATATTTAATAAAATAGTTTGAAAATTGAAGTTAATGTCCAGAAAATTTAATTCATGAGCGATGAGTGACGTGAAGACAAATTTATCTCCCTCAGTACGTCGCTCGGCAGTTCATAAAAAGCGATGCTCGCGTGCGATACATCATAAAACAATGCTAATCACAATCTCCCTTCACATAATCAGGTAATTTGATTGGTATTTGATTAATTTTCATGTTGTTCTTCGCGATGTCCACATGGCGTAGTAGAAACTGTAGCTTAATGTCTTCACACTTTAGCCGGAAATTCATGCTCGATTTTTTGAATGTCAAAACAAATGACAGAAATCGAGTAGAAACGAAAAACACAGGTGTCCAATTATAATTTTTAATTTCCAAAATATTGCTGAAGAACAGGCTGTGTGTGGTCGTTTGAAGTTTATGCAATTTTTGTGAAAATGACAAGACAGGTAGTTTTTCTCATTCCTCCAGAGAAACATACAAGTTATATTTGTAATTATGGCCAAATTACAGATCCTTTAATGATTTTATATTTATTAAGTAATCAATTAGCTATTAGTAATTGTTCATTTTCATATATAATTACGTGCTTCAATAGTTCTACATTTGTTTGCTCATTTAAATTCTATCTAATTATTAACCTTGCACCAAGAATTTATATTTTTATTTTGACTTTCATGAATAAATAAACAATATAAATATGTTTAAATACAATTTTGTTCACATAGAAATAAATATTGACGTATTGCAAAAAATAGTCATGGGTGATATTTTACGGTAACCTGATATTTATCGGACATTTATAATTTTTGAGCTCCTTGAAGTAAGAATAAGATTTTAGAACTATGATTTTTGAGACGCAAATGGTATCTTTTGGAAAAGCGGTAAACTTCGATTTGCAAAGACAATGTCATTTATATCAAAGACACTCGCCAAGAAATAATGGATATCTAATAGGCCTACATAAAACATTCATAATCAAATTGAATAAAAATCGTGGATATAGAAATCGGGAACCGACTGCGTGGGAAATATCATAATTAACTGAATGTTATTTTTGTTTCTGAAAACTCTCTAATGACTTCAAATGTGAGCTTATTTTGATCATGGTTTGTTTTGAAACATTTCCTTTTTACAAGCAAACTGTCAGATAGTGTTTTCCGGAATTCAGCGTCCAGCATGACACCTTGGGAATCAAATCAAATTTGTGTACTATGAAAAATCATGCAAGGTACATGACAGCTACCTTATTTTGCATGTTTTATAATCCATACTATCACTGTAGTATCCTGTTTGTATTATAATTTCTTTAGATATTTTTTCTTTACTTTTCACTGGAATCCATCGCATTATTGAGATTTCAGATGTCGTGCCGCGCTGTTTACCAACACAAACGTCATTTACAATTGTTGTAATTACTTGATGACAAATAAATTGTTACACGTACTTAGCCATATAAGTAGCTTATGAGCTTTCACGGACAGATGCTGGCCCTCTTAATTCAAGTGCTAGATCCCCTGAATAATTTGCGCTCCATATGTATATCATGTATTCTAGGTATGATACCTGTAGATAACCACAATTAAAGTTTTTATAAATGTTAAATTAAAAAAAAGTTTTTTACACCTGTAATTGTGTTTCAGCTTTATTTATATTATTTTTTCAAAATAGGTATCTAAAACGCATGTAACTTAATCCCACTTGCGTTTTGTGTTTATACCCAAATAATAATTTATTTATGTAATACAGTCGTTAATTAAAGGTATATAGCCCAGGTGAGAATTTCTTTAAATAAATTAACAGGCGATGTGAAGAAAAAGGAACCTTAAATATTTTATCACAGAAAATAGTCCCATGTTTTGTCTTGAAACTTTAATGTAGTTGTTGTACGCCATGAATATAAGATAAGTAGTAATAGCTTAGACTGCCATTCCGATCTCTGTTATTATTTATTAAACACTTTAGTCTGATTTGTTTTTCAGTCATGAATATTTTAATTACACGATTACTATAAATAATAAAATAACAAATATACGCTAGCTGTAGTTATCCAGAGCGCAAGTTGAGCGCAATAAAGAGCAAATACGATGAAATTTGATCAGTTCTTTTATTGTTATATTTTCTTATTCTTGTAAACATTTATACACACTTACCTGGGGGTGGTAGAGGCCTGAATAAGACATAGAGTTTCTCGACATGGTGTCCATCATACTTCTTTCGGTTAAACACACGGTTTCTCCAAAGATTTTTTTTATTTTTGTTGACTTTCTAATGTTTGGATGAGATTGAAACTTCTCGTTTCGCCTTGCTGTTAAATTTTGAAGTTCCGATGCTATGGATGCTCCTGGTTCAGTTAATCATGAAATGGTTGGTGATGTTGCATGCGGTCCCCTTATAAAGGTATATTAATGCAATTAAGAGCAGGTTCCATCCATTTTACTTGTTAACCAATTAAGGTATATTGACAGTCTATAGACATATGTACCGTGGGCCCAGGGGACCCATTCGAATTGCACCATCAATCATCACCCTCGGTGAAACGATACAACCTGACTAAATTTGAACATTTCATAAAAGCTGTTTTTAAAGAAATACAAAAATATATACATTAAAAATGTGTTTGGTATATTTTCTGGTATATAAATAATTTTTATAATAAGAAATATAAGCAATTATTGAAGGGGTTTGATGGGAAATCAATGCGTATTGGGTTACAGGGGGTGTATTAATTTAAGTCATAAGCTAGAGGTGGAACGGAACATGAAATTAGCACGAAATCTACCTCATTTGCATATATCATTTTCTCACTTCTTATTGGCTCACGCATCAAATAAAGCTTTGATCTAGAAAAATTGACAATTTCTTTGATTGGAATAAAAAATGTCTTACAAGTTTCTGAAAACATAAAAAAGCTATAATTATAAAAGATTGAATTTGTTTTTAATTTTCAAGAATCAATCATAACCTCGAATAAGGATGCTATGAATAGTAAATTATGATCATTGCAGGAGATAGAAGTGTATCCTCTAACACTGTCTTTGAATTATAAACAGCATATACATCTATTTACGTACGCTTATTAACCTGAGAATAGCGAATTTTACATCTATGAATAATTTGGAGCTGTGTGTTTTTTGGTTGACAATATAAGACACATTCGGTATCCCTAGCATTTTTTATTATATGCAAGGTCTTGATTTGAGAAGAGATGTCACGTCATGTCATGTCACCATAAAATATGTATTTATTTTCTACTCGATTTGTGGATATATTTTTCTATCATGCCATCATACCCCAGTATGTCCTCTGTCAGTCAAGAATTTTTTCTTTATGTTTTTATCATTTCACTTCCACGTTGTGCACTATTGCTTTTATACACGTTATGTTTTCGAAATGTTGGCATTTGTGAAGGGCTTAGAACCAGTTGCTTCCCATCCTACATTCTTGCATACTATCGATCAGCCCACATGTATGCGATGGTGAAAAGAAAGTGCCTAAAGTATTTTAACAAAAGCTAAAAGATGAATTAATAAATTCAACGTATGTCTCACACGCGCCTCTATCCACACGAGAATAGTATCGGAACAAACCTATTTGTACCATTTACGTTCGTTCGACTTCGCTTCTTAAAAGAGAGCTTCGTCTTCAGTTTATAACCAAACTCTACACGCGGGGTAACCTATTTGATAATTCTATGTTGATCAAAAGGTTGATATTTTCGAAACATGGTGACACAATACAATTTAAAATATGATTAATCATTGAATATTAAATAAGAACTGTAAACTAATTATGGGACACAGGGAAAAATAAAGAAATTAACAGAATGATTACCAGTTACTTACTCAAAAACAGACGGTGTGGAAGTAGAGTAGAGAATCTCCCGAAATTACCGCTTGAATTGTTACCGTGCATACGGAGAAAAATGAGCTGCGTCAAATTCCAAATATAAGAGAAAATAATTGAATTAATTGTACATGTTTTCTTTCATCTTGTTATATAGTTGTAACCGGGTATGATATGTTTCTTTCCGGAAATGTACTTAGGGAACACCATGGATACGTTTTTTGATATTATTAAGTTAAACGAATCAACTGAAATATCTTTGTATTTCCTTACTGTTCACACTCTTCGTTGGAACTACTTAGTCCTTATATTTACCCAATAAACGAGATAAGGGCAGTCCCCTTGATATACCCTCAGGGAATACTTCATCATCAGATTGCAAGATACCAAGTTCCAAGAATACTTATCTTCGACTTCCAAGGTGTTATAATACAAACTATAAGTTGAAGTTGGAGCACCTGAAACCTTGTAAGTCAAGATGAGAATACTTCCATTTTCCAAAAGCAAGTTGTAGTTCCAAGTGTCCTGGGTTTGTGTATGCTTCTCATCTACACTACGGACACAATAAAAACTGAAAAGCTCAACAATATATACGCTAGTTGTAAACAAAAGCAGGCATTTTATTGTCTAATTACAAAATAATCAAGAAAATAGCATCTTGAAAGCAGTCAATAACACAGAAGCGTACTGCATTATATTCATCTATACTGTATTACTGGTAAACAAATGTCGTATTTTCACAGATTGTTGCTCTCCATCTATTATTTATCATAATTAATTCAATTTATAATCATGACCCACTCATCACAGCAGTGTTACTGCTATAGTATTCAGATCTCGTGGGATTTTTTTTCTGAGGAGCTACTTGGATTCACCTATAGCTAGCCGTGATAAGCCAATTCTTTTTATAAGGGGAAGGGATTGTCCGGGAGAGGGAGGTGTTGATCTAGCTACTGCATGCACATTTATAGGGGTTAATTATCACTAGTTTATGAATACATTGGGTCATTGGTTGGAAAGAAACGTGGCTCACTATACCTGATCCGGAGGTTTTAAATATGCAAACTAACAAATATTTGAAGAATAGTCCAAACAGCCCATCAAATAAATGATTTTTTATAAAATAATGTTTTTCAGAAATGTTGTTCTTATGGTGTTGTATATATGATTGAGGCAGTTAAAATGCCAGAGTAGGAATTAGTAGGAAAAGTTTTCAGTATAATATCAATCTTCACCTTGTTTTTATAAATAACAAAGAGTGGCAAAATAGCATTTTACGTCGTGATTATACTAGAATAATCATTCTCTCGTGTAAGCCATTAGATTGAGGATGGTATTGTGTTGTAGTTGTGTATTGGGTTCAACATAATGGTATCATATCAGAACTGTTTCAGAGTTGGTTGGTTTGTGTTAATTCATTGCAGTAATTGGATCTGTCAAAAATCAGAACACATAACGATTCAATTTATAATATTCATTTATTTAAACAATTATACAGCATATTTTTGTGTATATTTTTGCTTTTGCAATCGGGATAGAAAAAACAGACATCGTCGGGACGTCCAGTTAATTACGAATTTTGCTTTCAATTTCTACATTATTTCCATCTGGCTTTGAATGAATCTAGATAATGAAATGATGCCTTATAACGCTAACATGCTTGTTCCTCTGACACATAAATTGTAGCTTAATTGTATAATTAAGCAGGTAATTAATTAACCACTACATATGTACGATATGGTAATATTGCAGATCGATATGATTGTGTCATCCTTCCTAGGATTCAACTCATCTATTCATTTTATTATCTACTGTGAGCCCAGCTAGATCACTTATCGTGATTGCGTCTATGTCTGATAGTTTAAATAGCGTTCTGGTTCTTATTATTGTGTCAGAAATGAGGAGAGATGGATCCAGGCATTTTGAAATCAGCGAGTCTGTGCAGTCCGACGATAATAGAACTCACACCTAGATAATCGTTGGAGGAGATAGAGAGAGATTTATAAATCCCACCAGGTGGGAAATACCCTCATTGCCGGGATCTCGTATGGAGGCCGGGTATGGAGGTCGACCAATCCATTTTGATACCGGGTTGCTATGTAATACCTAAATTGACTTTTGTTCTAGATTGAGTGAAGATGGTTCTGCTTTATCTTGCGAGATTTTGTGGGGGTTTATTTTGAGGAATTTGTTCCTCTTAATTCAAACACTTTAAAAGATGGGAGTTCACACTGGTGCAGTGAATGACAATAACGGAATTACAGGTTGAAAAAATGAAGACAGAAAATCTGTGTCAGTCTGCTGTTGCTGTCACTTATATTGATTATTGTCTATTGTGTTCGTGAGAACGCCGTTGTCCGCTGTTGACACTTTCTCCTAATTTCCAGTATCATCCTACAACCGCAGTGTCTCGCAGGGATTCCTCCTAGTCATGCTGGGCGTGTTTACCATCATATGTAGTTAAATGGTGTCATACAATAACCGCATATGAGTTTGTATTGACGGCCCTTTAATTGGAACCCCGGTGATCATTTGGAAATCTACAAAAAAGACATAACATATTTGTTACAAATCAAGGAATATTAGAACTCAATGCCTTGGCTTTGTCTGTGAAATGTATCACAACTTAAGTTTACATATACCTTTAGAAAGAAAATAATTAATTGATCAAAAATATAATTTTTTATTTTGTCTTCATTTTGATTTTTGATGCTAGTAGGCTGCTTATTGGATACATATGCTAACAACTAATGGCAGTGAACAACCGTGCTCTTGAAAACCTTGACAAGGAAATCAATTGACACAATAATCTAGGTCAAAGGCAAATTGTCCATATTTTGTAAAAAGAGAATTGTATAAAAACTGTATGTTGATTGGTTAGATTTATTAGGATGATAGTCCCAGGACGCAACAGTTTTATCAACTTTTCTTATAACATATCTGTTGCCGCTCGTGCTTTCTCCATATTCTGGCCCGCATTTTAACATGAGTGGATAGTTTTGTACATTCTTTCTTTCATTAACCACTTCAGTTATGTTTGTCTTTTGGTAAACCATTAAAAGATAAAATCACTCCCAGTGTCGTCCCATTGTTTGTATGACAGGTGCGTTATTTGTAGTCTTCGACATTGTAAAGAAGATGAGAACTCAAGGTTATGATTATGACAGTAATGAGAATATTCAATAGAATAAACGTGCAACTAATTATACGGGGGTCGCGTTATTGACAACGATTTGCAATTTTATTATTTAACATCTAAGCATGTGTGGGTGCATCCACACCCGGGATCCACACCAACTTCTCACCCGCCGCTACTGCTGGTATACTGAGGATTTCTAAGCACCTTTGAACAAATGAATACAAATAACATACCGTCATCATTAAAAGAGTAATGGCTACATGTACATTTATACATCTTGAGAGCCCCGAGATCAACTGCACACCACAGAAAACCCGGAGGGAATCCTTGGCCCAGATTCAGATTGCAGATCAAGCGAAAGACCTTGACATTATTGTTCTTTCGTACTTTAACTTCAATAATAATTTAATAATGAATAATTTAATGAAGTAAATATGATCATACATGTATTATGCCGTAAGATGTAAGAGTATTGGC